GTGCACTGCACGTACCTCTGTTGAACACAGGGTCATTGGAGTAGACCTGCTGCTCGGTCCCCTCGAGCACCTGCTTCCAGAACTTGAGGATGGCGTCCGGACAGGTGCTCTCCGTGTGGCTGGACCAGTCACCGTACTCAGCCCACGAACTGTACCCGACAGGAGGCGCCACCTCCCCCTCCTCTTGCCCATCAGGCTGCTCGTCCCCCGCCTCGTCTTCCAAAGCCTCCTGATCCTGCAGATCTTCCAACGCCATGCCCGTCTGCAGGGCGTAGAGGCTCGCCGTGTCAAACGGCACCTGAGATGGGGGAGGGGTCTGATTGATGAAGGAAGGACCACAGACAAGACAACAAGCAAACAAACAAACGGATCGACAAGGCAGCCTACCTGTACAATCGTGTGTGTGGTTGAGTGCGGACAGAGCGGTGCTTACGGGCTTGTCGTGTCGCCTGCGGAATGCCCTGCTGGCCTCCGACCGAGTGCCCTTCTTCTGAATGGTGATGTCGTCGAACGAGGCCGAATGCCTCGCTGATCCATCCGCGCCTCCACTCGAGTGCCAGATCACATCACGGGACCGCCTGCGGTGGTGACAGGAGCTGCTGCAAGGCGGGCGGATGAATCGCTGCGCACGGCTGACGGGGGAAGGGGGACTTGGGAAGCCGCGAAAGCACTCCACGATGGAGATGCAGAGCAAGCTCCAGACAAGGCCGGCCGTGGCGACGAGGCGCGATGAGAAGCAGTGCAGCAGCAGGCTCATCTTCCACGAGAAATGGCGAGATCAGCTAGATCAGCGGCGCATTCATTCATACATCGACCGTCTGGCTTCGTTGGCACACCACACCACCTTGCAGGCTCCACCTTTCAAAGTGCACAAACCGGCGTTCGCACTCTTTGTGCGAGCTTGAGGCCAGGGCGTTGGAGAATTGGTCTCCTCAGTTGCTTCGAGATTCAGGAATATGGTGAAGCAGAAGCGTTCGTCTTGGAAGCGGATCGAAACAGACGATGTGGAGGCCGGTCAGAAGGAGGACCAGGTCCGTCGGCATCTCTCGGGCAAGGCCGGCGACGCCCTGTTCGTGGAGGACACCCATGGCAGCACAGCGGGTCTATCGAGATCGGTGCGGAAGCGAATGCGGCTGCTCAAGGAGAAGCCCGCCGCCAGGAAGCTGCCCGACCATGTGCTCAGAAGAATGGAGCGCGAGAGGCTCCGGATGGAGCGGCGGGAAAGGCAGAACCGAAACAAGCAGGTGGGCGGACCAGACCGGGTGGGCGAGGTGCGTTCCCTGATGCAGTCAGTGCTTTTTCATCTACGTTGGTTGTGTGGTGTGTGTCGTGCAGCTAAGTGCTGAGGACGGTCCGGTGGACTTGTGGGGGTCTTCCACATTGACGGCACCAGCTCCTTCCCGCCCCTCTGTGCATCCCAATGAGCGCATCAAGGACCGTGTGCGCCGCCGCCATGAGCCCTTCCGCCCGACGGTCGTGGCGCCCGTTCCTGCTGTGCCGCTGCCCCACCCAGGACAGTCGTACAACCCACACGAACCACACAGACAGGTAGGTACCGCAATAGCAGTTGTTGCCGCACACACACACGATGCACATGGGCGGACAGAGGAAGAAATGTGTTCCTGCCTGCCTGGTGCGGTTTGTTTGTCTGTCTGTTGGTATGTGTATGTGTGTGTGCAGTCTGCTGTGTTTACTGCGGCTGCGTTGGTGATGGCTCAGGACGACCGGCGGGAGATGGTCGAGCGAAGCCTCAAGCCGCTGACGGCATCGCTGGTGAGTGAGTGAGTGGGTAGGTGGATAGATGGATGGGACAAGGGAGCGGGCAGGGAGGTGTGGGTCACTTGTCCTGGTGCTGTGCTGCGTGTGTCTGTCTGTCAGATGGATGTGTTGCCTGAGGAGACGGTCAATCAGATGGATGACAATGACAAAATACGGGTCGGTCGGCTCACACATGCAATCAACCGACAGAGGCAGGCCACTGTGGTGGGCCGGTATCTCTCTCTCTCTCTCTGTGTGTGTGTGCGTGTGTATGTGTGTGTGCTGCTGTGCAGGCGTATCAGTTGCTGCAGGAGGGTCAGGACGCGTCAGCTGTGTCGGCATGGTTTGAGGGGCAGCTCATGCGCAAGCGCGTCAAGAAAGAGGGCGGGGACGGCCAGGACAATGATGATGACGACGACGACGACGCCGCTGATGAAGACCAAGACGAGGATGAAACCCCTGGAGCTGATGCTTTGAAGACGGCCAAACAGACAAGTAGGCACCCAGGCACCTAACGCATATCTTGGTCGGTGCATATGTGTGTGTGCGGTGCTGTGCTGTCTCAGAGTTGGGAGAGAAGAAGACCAGGACGCAGCGCAATCGTGAGGCAAGGCGCAAGGCGCAGGACCAACAGGTGTGTGTGTGCCAAAGGGCATCACTCTCACATGCATGTGGGTGTGTCTGTCTGTCTGTCTGTCAGCTTCAAGCCAAGTTGGAGCTCAAGAAGCGAAGGCGCGACTTTGAGCAAATCAGTAAGCTCGTCACACGGTGCGAGGCAGGGAGGGAGGGACCTGATGGTAAGTAAGTCTGCTCGCCTCGCCCATGTGCTGTGCCTTCCTCGCAGAGTCACACCTGGAGTCGCTCAAGGCCCTTCAAGAGCAGCGGGCCGCACGGCGGCAGTATCGGTACGGATGCATCCGACTAGTGCAGTGCACCCACCCATCTGCTCTTGGCCGCCTTCATGGCTCATCTGCAGACGGAAAAAGCGCAATCAATGCTCTCTCGTGTGTGTGTGTGTGTGCTGATGATGTGATGCAGTGAGTTGTTGAAGCACGAGGCCGAGGAAGCCCAGAAGAGGGGCGAGGCGGCAGCCGCCAAACGACTAGGAAGGGTAACCGACAGACCAGCAGCGCAATCACCCCAACAAACATTAATTCCAGACTTTCTATCGTCTTCCTGTGTGTCAAATCCCTTCAGCATGTGTATCGAGAGGCGCCGCCCGACGTGGTGCTGAGCGAGGACGTCAGGGGCTCGTTGCGGTCAGCCAAGGTGAGTGGATCGGCCATCGCTGACCGAGCCCAGTCCATCTACCGCCGTGGGCTGCTGGAGGCGCCGCCCAAGGGCCGGCAGCACTACAGCCGCAAGGTGCGCAAGACACTCAAGCACAAGGAGAACCCCCTGATCAGACGGTACCAGCCGGCCTTGTTCTAGCTGACATGACAACCAAGGCAGATAGATTGTGTGTCGAGCGATTTGCGCGTGCTTGTTTGCTGTGTCGAAGGCTGGACTTGAGAGAGGTGTGTGATACATCGATGCGCGACATGTGAGTGCGACAGGACAGCATCCTGGTGGCTTCGGGTGCATGGACTCAGCGTTCACAGCCAGAAGAGTCCATTGAGTTACACAAAAACCAGGCCCACACAGCAATCGGTGGGCTCCTTGGTGCACACCAGCCTCAGACATCATGGAGCCTGGCTAGTCTACACGGCGGCCGAAAAATAACAGCGCCTGCCTGCCAGCATCTAAGCAGAGAGTCCTATGCTACAGAAAGACGATACAGTCCCCCTCCCCCCCTCCCTCCCTCAGTCAATGCTTCATTCAGTCGATGGCCCTCTACCATGACACCAGGAAAGGCCTCCCTCATTCTGGCGACTCTAACAGTATCTGACCATGGCCAGCCCCACCATGGTCGTCCACATAGCTATCATCACCTCCATGCCCCAGCCCGGCCGCTGTGCCTGCCGCGGGTCCCGCCACAGCCCCGCGACTGGCCTCATCACTCGACTCCTCCTCCGCCTCGTGCAGTGTCTCGTTCTCCATGCCAGCCAGTGCATCAGCTGATGCACTGGGGGAGGCCTCCTCGCCCGGAAGACGCAGGTTGGGTGACGGCAGGGCCAGCTCCTCCATCCCCACTGGCTCGTGCCCGTCAACCAGCTGGTCGGCGAAAGGCACTCCCACGCCGCCACTCGCCAGTGCTGCATCGTCATCAACGGCCGCTGCTGCTCCTACTGGTTGCGACGCATCGGCAGCCGATCGTCTGAGTGGCATGGGTGCACCGATGCAACCTTGCCGCCCGACTTTGCCGCCCTCCATCTCCACTCGGTCGTCGTCGTCATCCTCTTGCTCTTCCTCTTCCTCATCTTCCTCTTCCTCCGACTCATCGGCCTCCAGTCCACGAGCTGCATCCAGCCTTGAGCCAGGAAGACGCTTGCCGCTGACCCCACCGCGCCGCCTGCGGTACAGATCGCTGCTACTGCTGCTGCGGCTGATGGAACTGCCGCTGGGGGACGAGTCGGAGGGACTCATCACCATGCCGCCAGCAGCAGCAGACGCAGACGCACCAGAGGAAAACCGCACACGCTTCGGTGGATGGTCAACTCTGTCGTCACTCGGGATGCCCTACACGCAAAGATTGCACGAAATGAACAGGACGTGACCTCAGCTGATTCTCTGCAGCTCTTATACACCATTTTGTTTGCTCCCCTGCGGCGTGAGGGCGTGTCGACAGCATGGTCGGCCACACAGCGATGAAGGGGAAGACGACGATGGTGGTGCCGGTGATAGCCGTCGAACGGTACCAGACGCAGCAGACCCGACGACGCACCTGCACACACCATCCACACAGACACTCACAAGAAGCCTATGAATGCTCTCCATCTTCTCCATGCCGCCCTTACTCGGTGAGCCGGCCCTTGTGGTGCGTGGACTCAGGCAAGCCTGATGAGGCGATGACCGCGCAAAGAGGTAGTTCCCACAGTGGCCACAGAAGCTCAGCTTGGGTGTCGTTCGTCGACAGTGCCAGCATGTGGTGAGCTGCCGCAGCAGCGATTCAGGCCGGGTTGAGGGCGAGTGAGGGGAAGGCGGAGCCCTCACACGGGCAGCACGGCGAAAGGATGGCGTGGCGGGCTCCTTGATGTCAGCCTCGGGAACGGCAGCTGCTTTTTCAGACGCGGCCCGTGGGACATCCTCGCGTGATGCCATCTGCCCGGGTGTTCTGCGAGACGACGGGTAGCCGAACCGAAATGGCCCTCTGAGACCCACCACCTACACGAGTTGTTGCAAACCGGACCGAAGCGACAAGGAAGGTTAAACCTTCAGGAGGTGCGTACCGAAAAGAAAAGATGATAGAGACTGATGCGGGTGTAGTAAGGGAAAAAAGCCTGTCGATTGCCTGTAGATATCTTTCTGTGAGCTATCAAGGCATCTGGGGACGATCAATGGCCTGTGTTCTTGTCTCTCCTGCAGATCTGAGCACCAATACCGAAGAACATCATCTCATTACGGTCTTTCCCTGGCGCTTGTCCAACCGGGACCTACCTGAGATCCGACGTGAGATCCGCACCGAACCGAAAGCCCTTGTGAGTGTGACCGAAAGGGTTGGTTGGTTATTGTGTTCAACGAGACTCGTGTCTGTAACCCCGAGGGGATCCTGTCCAGGTCACGCACTAAACTAGCAGCATGCACATGCATAGAAGCATGCACACGGCCTGTCTCCCCATCCCACCCACCCATTCACTCGACACGCACGTGCCACCCTATGATGGTCAGAAAATCGCTGTCGACAACGGTTGCAGGTATATGAGAATGACAGCCAGACATAGGCAAGACACCCAGAGGCTAGTCAGAGAGCTCGACGTCGAGCGCCCACTGATCTAAGACATGCTGTTCGTACAGCAGCTCGTCGTCTTCCCCTGCCTGACTGTCTGGCAAGAATGGGTTGAGGGCAAGCCACTCAGTGCGTGTCGCCTGTGCTGACAGAAGAAAGTCGGCCGCTGCAGAAAGCACCGGCAGTTTGTCCGATTGCAGCACACAATAAGTGAACACAATTGGATGTGACCTGCGCCACAGACGATAACTAGAGGCATCAGGGGCAGTCACGCCATGCCGGCCAACAATTGTGTGCAGAGTGTCCCGCAGAGAGCGAAAGGGTGAATGGTCACCTAGGTTGGTTGGTTATTGTGTTTAACGAGACTCGTGTCTGTAGCCCCGAGGGGATCCTGTCCAGGTCACGCACTAAACTAGCAGTTTTCGCATGCACACCTAGGTGAGTCCCGTCGTTCTGCGAGCTTTGTTGTAAAGTCAGGAACTTCACTTGCCGCACCAGCCCTTGTCCCGATCCGGATATGAACATTGGCTTTGCACCCATGCTGTCGCAGCCCTTCTCTTTTATCGTTTGCACTGCCATCTTCGCTGCGGTGTCCGCAGCAGCTGCCGAGAAACGGCACCGCCATGGACGTCGCGATACCGCTGCAATGGACAAGTACATCGGTCACCACACGGCTCTACCGACGGAGAGACCCCAGACGGTGGCGTTTCACCCAACAGGCAAGCTCAAATCCTTCCTCGACCATCCCGTTTCGGCATACTCGTACGGCATCGAGGATGGAGACTCGGTGGGCAGGAGATATGCAGCGGCGCATGCCACGAAACCGCATGCAGATCTCATGGCCCGGGAGCTGGCGACAAACGCCGACCTCTTCTCCTCACTGATCCAAATCAAACGAGCACAACGGGGCTTAGCGAAGCACAAGGACGTCTCTCTCTCCAGCGGCATGGAGGCGGACACGGGCCCTCGGCTGCAGCCTGTGGACTCGTCCTACTCGCGAGTCCTGCAGTATCTCGCGAACCCCTCATGGAGCACCATCCAGCAGAAAAGCACCGCTGGCCAGGGCTTGGTCACGAGGACTGCTGGTGACCTCCTTACCCGCGAGATGGAGGGCAACGGTGGGCTTTGGGAGACTTCTACTAGTAGTGGTCAGTCGACCAAGATCAAGGCGTTCCTGCAAGGCACTCGCAATCAGGCGAGACCCAGCGAGGGGCTTGTCTCGGCCCTGAGGTGCCGTGTGATGGTCGAGGAGAGGAAGAAGCGGCTGGAGGAGAGCAGCCAGCAGCAGCAGGCGGCCAGCGAGAATGATGAGGACGAGGCTGCGCTCGGGGCGTACTTGGCCGCCAAGGCCCCCAAGACGGCAGACACCCACCACGAGGCCGCTAGCCATACTTCTTCTCTTGGTGCCAAGGATGGCGGCCTCAACACTCAGGAGGTAGGCAGAGAGGATACCCACGAGGGCTCACTGTGTCTGTCTGTCTCCCACACGAATGGCAATTTCTTTGTGTGATGGCCACAATTCATGCAGAATGGTGGCGAGACAGTGCCCTATCTGAAGGCAGACAGCAGCGACCTGCTCACGCGGGAGATGGAAGGCAATCTGGGGCTCTTCGTCATGCAGCCCTTCGAGGCGACCCCCAAGCATTCCCGCCCTGCGCCGCTCGTCATCGAAGCCCCAGGAGTGTTCTCTGAAGTGACATCCTATCTGAACAGCAGCAACCTCCAGGGGATGGAGCAAGACACAGCTGCAACCAAGGCAGAAGGATAATGGGCTGGGATGTACCACTAAGGTAGGGGCTGGCTCACGCGTCGATCGCATCGCCTAGGGCTGGCTGAGCTGTTGAGAGAGAACTGTGCGTGCACTCAGTCAGCTTGGTTGGTGTGTGGCATGCCCCGCATACGTGTATTGTATGGTGTCTGACCATGGCCCATGACTGCATGAATCGATGGACATAGATATCAGTATGGTCACGCCATGCATGCAATCAATGTCAACCAGAAACCACAGCCATGCAGCATTGTCAAGACGCCACATCACATCGCCGGAGAGGCTTCGAGCGCTGAGCGAAGAAACAGAATGCACACAAATGATCAGGCAGGCAGACGGGAAAACAGCAGGCGTACAAACTGCCGGCTGAGCCCACATGCCCACCCATTCATCGCATACACACCAACACAAAAGAGACAGACAGGACACATTGACACATTGCCAGCACTCACTCCCTTGCCCACAATCGCCATGTTTTCCCCCGCCCTGCCTGCCTATCGGCCGCCCCCCCGCCGTGTGCGGCGCTTCTTGCCGCTCTTCCTGCTCGACGTACCGGCACCATCACCAGCAGCCGGCGCCATCTCGTCGTCTGCTCCATCCTGGACCTCTTCATCCTCATCGTCGGCCATGCCGCCGCCTTCCTCAGATTGGCCTGCTGCTGCTGTGGGGCTTTCGAGGCGTGCCGTGGCGTCCAGCTGTCCCTTGTCATCGAGCGTGAGGCCCTCCATGAGCTCGGCCAGCTGGATCTCGGGGAACTCGCATTCATCGGCCACCGCCGCCTCATCAGTACACTGCTCGGGCTGGTACCTGGAACACACACGCACACACACACACACACACACACACCACACACCACACACACATATAAATGCACTCAACACATGACGACAAACCGAATGCGTTGTTTGTCCGGTGAGCGTACCTTGGGTCCCGGTAGAGGTTGATGTCTTGTCTCATGTCGACGTCCTCCTCGATCTCTCTCTTGAAGTCCTCGAGGTCCCTGGCGCGAGTGTCGACCTCCATCCTGCGGCCGCCCCTCTCGCCCTCCTCGGCCTCACCCGCGTCCTTCTCCATCGGCAGGTGCATCAATGTCCACATGCGGCGCTGGTTCTCCTTACGGGGGTAGAACTTGCGGACCAACACCACCTCAGACGGCATCTGCCATGCCATACCATGCCATGCCATAAACACATAACATACATGTAAGTAATGTAGGCACAGCAGACAGCAATCAATGCATTCATTCATTCCTCCGACATACACACGTCGGTGTAGGCCACCTGCCCACCCATTGACCCACCTGTCCCTCAGTGAGTTCGGTGTCGATGCCGCTGACGTTGATGGTGCGCAGGTCATAGCCAAGGCAGTAGTCCCCCGCCTTCAGAATGTGGCCCAGGTGCGTCTTGACCGTCACGCGCTCGTCGTTCTTGCCAAAGTCACACGCGCGGGCCACCTCCGCCTCGCACACTACAAACTTGGCGCCACGCGTCGCATTCGTGTTGGCCGACTGGTTGCCGCGGCGGTTCTTGCGATTGTTGGCCGGTGTTGCTGCGGGGGCAGGTGCGGCTGCTGGTGGAGCATGCTGGCGTGAAGCGTCGGTCGTGTCGACATCAAGGATGACAAACTCAGTCAGGTGACGGCGAGTGAAGACTGACAGACAGACAAGGCAGGCCGAAGGAGATCGGTGGTCGCTAGAGCCGTGTGTGTGCTGTGTGCTGTCTGTGCATTGTCTGTGGGTTACGTACTGGCCTGGAACGGTGACTGCCAGTATTTGACGGAGGGGATCTCGACCGTCCGCAGGGTGAAGGGGTCGATCAGGTGGATGCTGCTCGACACCTTCCGACACAGCATCAACTGCACGCACACAGACACAACTCAACATGAATGAACACACCACAGCGAGCCGGTCTGCCTGTCTGCCTGCCTGTCTGACCTGTGGGACGCCTCCCAGAGCGGCGGCGAGTTTGCCAGGGAGGTACACGAGGTCGTCTTTGCAGATGGGGCAGATTTCCTGGAAGATGGTGTACTTGTAGTTGTAGGTGTTGCTCTTGGAGTCGTGTGACGTCAGCTGCTTGCTGGACTTGCTGCGCATCGGGAAGAACGAGTTGATGAAGTCCGCCAGCTTCTGCGCGTGCTGCTTGCCCATGAACTGGAAGTCGATGCCGTCGGGCTTCTCCACAATGTGCAGCACCTGAACAAAGAATTGAACGAACATCCGCACACACATGACAGACACCATTCCCCCTCCCTCCCTCCCCCCTCCCATGTATACAGACCTTTTCGTGTGCATCGTGTTTGATGATGAGCTGCTCGAGAAAGAGGAACGTCCGCTTGTGGTCGGTCCGCTGGCGCACCTGGACGAGTGCGTTCCATGTGTGTGGGGTGTAGATGCGGTGGCAGTCCTCGCACTTCTGCGACTGGACAACGAACTCGATGACGACGCTCTGCTGCAGGATGGCGCCGTTCATGACCTCCTTCTGCACCACACACTTGACCTTGATGCGCCGGCTGTGCGGCTCGGTCCAGATGAAGGAGGCGTCCACGAGCTTGACGCCCTTGGTGTTGAGGCCCTTGATCTTCTTCAGGCACACGGCCAGCAGCTCCTTGCTCTCCAGCTCGCAGTGCAGCCACGGCGGACGGAGGTAGCGGTCGCACTCCTTGCAGTAGGGCAGCAAGCCAGTGCGGGAGATGCCCTCGGTGATGTCCACCTGAGACCGCAGGCAGCTCACGCACATCATCGCAGGGTTCGCCTCGATGGACGTCCCGCACAGACAACCTGCACACACACACACACACACGACACCGACATACGCACACACGACACCGACACACAGACACACAGACACCCAGGCTCAGACAAGTGCTTGCTTGTGGGAACGCGTGGCTGTCTGTTGTTTGTGGATTGGCTTGCTCTGTTGCTTGTTTGTTTCTTTCTTACACAGAACGGTCGGCATCTGTTGAGGCGGGCGAGGAGCATCCACAGCAGATGCATCCATGCTTGCCGGGATGATAACGGTATGTTCTCAGCGTTGATTTCTTCGACGATGCTCACACTCCGTGCTTCACGGCAAGCTGAGGAGCGAGCGGTTTACGGAGGAGCGGTTTCACGAGCTCTGCGAGCTATGTATGGGGGTTGGGATAGCCAATGGGATAGCCGTCCTTCCCCTCGTCCGATTGGTCATGATCAATCGAAATTCAATTCATTGTCTCAATGCACTTCGCCTCAGCAGATGCATCCATGCAGGCACGCTGCAGACGAGCATCAGTGACAAAACACGCAGCCGGTGTGAGAAGGCATGGCATGGCTGCCCATCCATCCATCCATCCATCCATTTAGGTACGTGCCCCCACTTGTCAAGTCAATCAGTGTAGTCACTCAGACACGCCTGCAGCAGGGAGGGAGGGAGCTGACGTATCGGTATAGTACACAGCGCTGTCAGTGCCACGCATGGCCATGTGGCCATGGGCATGCAGTGTGGGGTGCGGCGCACACTGTGGAAGTGGGACTGCCTGCCTGTGAGCTGTTTGTTGCATCCATGCAGGGACGCATCAGGTGAGTGACAGAGAGAAATGAGGGAGGCCACGGTGGATGGATGGATGGATGCGACACAATGCATGGTGGCTGGAAGAGAAAGAGGTGTGAATATGCAGACATAGTTCATAGATACCAGAGCAAGTGTGTAGTATGGCGGATCGGCGGGTGGATCCATCCATCCATCCATCCATTCAAGAAAACGAGCGAGAGAGAGAGAGAGACAACAAGAGAGCCATTCACCCATCCATCCATACCTTCACCCACTCACTCAACTATCTATCGCACTTGGATGGACGACATAGACACCAACCAGCAAGTAGACTGAGCGAGTGAGTGAGTGACAATTAAAGGAGCCACCAACTAGGAACCGTACATACATACAAGGGTCCATGTGATGTGTCTTTCTTGTCTTCCTTCGTGCCTCCCAATCACCATCCCATCCACCAAATTCGGACGCCGGCCGCCCATCTTCGGGTCACTATTTGCAGCATTCGTGTCCTTCCCGCTTCCTCTCGTGTCAGTTCTCCATCCCCCTCCCCTCCCGCCTCTCTCTCCCGCAGCAGAAGACTACTGAGCACCAAGCGCACATCTCATGCATCTGCGGATCAAGCAATGAGCCATGACAGACAGACAGACAGACAAGAGACCATCACAGACGAGTCTGAGGGTGGAGGCGAGAGCTGCTGCAGGTTGTGAGTTGCGTTTCTTGAGCAGTAGTGAGTGGAAACGGAAGTAGGCAGCCATCAGTCCAATCTACCCACCAACCCACCCATCCAGCCCACAGCCCCGGCCGTCCCTCCTCTGAATTCGTCCATTCAGTCAGTCAGCAATGCACTCACTCGATGAATGACCCCCTTCCCTCCCTCCCTCTCTGGCTGCCTTCCTTCGCCCTGCCCTGTCTGCCTCTCTGCGGGCGCCCGGGAGAAAAAAGCGGCAGGCCATCCAAACCCACACACAACACGCACCCGTGGATGCGATACACGCACCATACACACACACACACATGCAGGTAGGTGGTAGGTAGATAGGTGGGTAACAATACATAAAGACACTTACTTGTGGATGGAAAGGAAGTGTGTAGCAGCAGACAGGGCAGAAACACGAGCACAAAACGTCAGAATCATCCCCCGACCGGCCCGGGGCACCGATCGCATCTCACTCACAGCCATGCAGCCATGAGTCAGCCAGTGGGTCCGGTCTCCACCAAGTGAGTGGGCACACACAACACAAGACAGCAAAATTCAAACGCCGGTGCTGTTTTCCTTGTACTCATTCATGCCTGGATGCATTTGTTCATAAATGCATTCATTCGTGAGTACGTAAGCAGGAGCAGGTCAGTCATGTAAGTGGCTGGTGCGTTCTCACGTATTTTTCATTCTTTCATTCATGCAAAAGCACAAAAGTGGGTGGGGTAGTGTAGGGTGGGGTCGGTCCATCCATCCACCGATGGGTAGGTAGCAGCTCTGGACTTAAAACGCCTCCCTCCTCCATCGCACGTACGTGTACACGTACGTACACTACAAGTATGTATGTATGTATGTGTGTATGTATGTGCTGCCGATCCGATCGCGTGCAGACATCCGGATCCGCCCACATACGCAGCACACACAGCATGACACTTACTGAGTCCTTGCCTTGCCGCACATTCACACATGTGTGCATGGTGTGTATGTCGAGTGAGTGAGTGAGTGTTTGGAAGAAAAGGCGATCCGATTGGCCGTCGTGGCGTCCACGTGCGTGTGGTGTCTCTGTGTGTGGGCGGTGGATGTCTGTCTCTGTGCTGTGTGGATGTGTTATATGGGCGGCTGGCTGGATCGTGGCTTGTCTATACTCGTCCGCCCTTCTGTCTGTCTGTCTGTCTGTCTGGCTGGCTGGAAGCCGGGTTAGAAAACGATGGATGGATGCGGGTACCTGCAGTCAGTCCATGTATCTATCAGTAGTATCCCAGTGGTAATCCATACCTCGTCGAACTACTCATTGTGAGTGGTGTGTCGCCCGCCTCTCCTATCAGTCCAGCAAGTCAGTCAGCCGAAAGAGTGCGAATGAAGAACGTGATAGATAGATAGGTGGATGGATGGATGGATGGACCCCTGCCTAGTGAGACAGCCAGGCGGGTGTCAATCGTGTGGTGTCATCCCCTCCCTCCCTCCCTCCCTCCCCTGTGGTCGAGTCAGTCGATCAATCAAGCAATCGATGAGCAATCGATGACAAATAGAGATCGATGGGTGGAAGAGAGTGAGTGTGCATGACATGAATGAGTGTGAATGAAATACCCACACACGCACAAACACACACATACACATACACATACACACGTACGCTCACACATAAACCGGCGGGTGGGGACGCACGTAGGTTGCTCGAATGACACGGACACTGAGCATCGACATTGATGGGATGGGTGGACACACAAACAAATAGCCAGCTGTCTCCCTCCCTCCCTGCCTCCCTCTCCCCTCCCTCTCCTCTCCCCTCCCGTCCTACTCCATTTAGCGGGTCATCGCGTCCCTCCCGCTCTCTCTCTCTCTCTCTCTCTCACCTCAGTGGCAGCCAGGAGCGTACGTCCGTACGTTGGTGTGCATCCATCGCTGGATGTGAGCATATAGCAGACAGACAGACACAGCACAGAAGGCACAGACAGACAGCAAGCAGCACACGAAAGAGCAGAGCAGCGTCAGCCAGCCAGCCAGCCAGCCAGCGTCCCCTGTGTATGCACCGCACGTCACTCACGTATGCACGCATCATCCATATGACAGACAGACACGAATGGCAGGCAGGCATGAGCGAGTAAGGAAGTCATAGCACGGAAGTAAGCCCTGAGGTAGGCAGGTAGGTAGGTGGGCAGGTGGGCGAGTCAGGCCCACCAGTCGCAGAGCAGCACAGCGACCGCCATCAGTCACCCACCCATCCATCGGCCCACCCACCCCTCCACGGCCAGGCCATCCATTGGCAAAAATTCCAAACTCATGAGCATGCATCTCTCTGTCTGTCTCTCTGTCAGTGAGTAAGACCATGTATCTATCGTATCGATGGGCGCAGGCAGGCAGGCAGGCAGGCAGGCAGGCAAGATCGGAGGGAGGAGAGCAGGCAGGCAGGACGGGATGCACTCGCTCACTCGTCCGTCCATTGGTGCGGTGCATGGCTGCATGTGTGGGTGGATGGCGTGTGGTGGTGTGGTGTGTGTGGCTAGAAATAAAGGCTGAAAGAAAGGAGGAAGGAAGGTAACGATTAGATCATAGCGAATAGAAAGAGATCTCAAACCAGGCCAAGGCAACGCAGCCACCGCATTGGTCGGCCACACTTGGTCGGACTTCCCCCTTTCCCATGCCACATACCCCCCCCACACACACACGACACCACGCTCACTACTCACTTGCCAAGCTGCCGGCCCTGTCTGTCTGTCTGTCTCTATTGCACCGCACGACCTACTCGGATCTTTCTTGACGCCCTGCGCCACACACGCACCGCGCACCAGACGCAAAGAACAAATGGCGGTGTGCAAATATGCAAGTATGTAAGCATCGGGCGGGAACCCACCAAAATCAGCGCACTCACTCACCCACCCCACCGGCAGGCAGGCAGGCACATCAATCCCTCCGTCCCTCCCTTGGGAGATCGATCGCCTCCCTCCCTCCCTCCAGAACTAGACAGACACATGATCCCCCTCGGCTTGCCCTCGTCTCATATCCGCAGCTGTCTTGACAACAGTGATCGTCAGTCAGCCTGCCTGCCTCTCTCAGCCACGTCCCCACTGATCGATCCATGGTAAGCGAGAGGACCAAAATTGCTAGTACGCTTCTCCTGTGTATGTAAATGCAGCCGGCCAGCCCTCACTGCAAGCAATGCACGACAAATAAAAGACAACCAGCCGGCAAACAGCGAACCCTTCCCTTCGTCCATCCATCCATCCATTCATCCATTGACCACACGCAGACAGGACAGGCAGCGACACTCGAGTGAGCATCGTTGGCAGCCAGGATAGACAGAGGGGGCAGCACGGCACGCACCGGTGACTGTGAGTGAGGGAGAGTGACGGTGTCGGTGTCAGGTAGCTCGGTCTTGGTTTGAAAAACAAACAACCCTGTCTGTCTCCCTTTGCCCATCCAGTCAGCCAGCATGCCCTCAAACTCGGTCGGTGGTCAGGTCAAGTCAGTGTGCGGCCGGCCGGGTGGTCTCTGCCCGCCGTCGCGCATACATATTGTTGTGTCAAGTGGTAGTGACTGCAATGCACACGCACACACCCAATGCATGTTATGTATGTGCCGATTCATCCCCCACAGACAGATCGACGGTCAGTACGCAGCGATTTGCGTACTATAGGTCGGTCGATCGATGGATCGGTCCCAGCCATTCATCCACCTCTCTACTTTTCTACTTACCTACCTCCCTGGCAAGACAAGACAGACATACCAGACATGCACCATGCACACATACACACACACATATACACACAAGCGCACAGAGCAGACCGACCGGTGTACGCAGTACGCAGTACGAAGGAACGGATGAGATGAGTGGATGGCTGAGTGAAAGGGCCGACGAGGAGGGAGGTAGCAGCAGCAGCCTCCTAGCAGTGAGTGACTGTACCCATACACGTACGTACGTACGGGGCGAACGACTTCTGAGAGCCAAAATCGCACGCACTTGCCCATGATACGTATCCCTCACCCCCACTGCCCATCTCTCTCTCTCTCACACAGACGGACGTCGGCTGGCTGGTTGGTTTGTTAGGTGAGTAGATGGGTGACTTGCGGTAGTGGATGATGGGTGCCATGGTGGCTGGATGGACCCACTCAAGGGATGAAGGGAGGGAGGAGACACAGAAGAGGGGAGAGAGAGAGCGAATCACATCAATCACATCACACCACACCAGAACAAAGCACACACACGGACTGCATCAAACAAGAAGGAAGGAACCATCGCTCGCATCAAGAAAGCCAGCAAGGAAGGAAAAACACAGCTGCATGGGTGGGTCGAGGCGATGTGGACTGGGCGGGGTGCCCTCTTTCGATACACTCCCGCATCCATCCATCCATCCAGGCAGGCAGGCAGGCAGGCAGAGAGACAGAGAGGTAGATGAGCGATTAGTCCCCCCCCTCACTACCTCCCCCCTCTTAAAACAACGGCATGGAAACAGGACGCAGGCAACCAGGAAGCAGGCAAGCAAGTAGGTGGGTGAGCGGGGCATTGGCTTTGGTTCCGTCTCCGCAGCCAACGGCGCATCCACGCACGGCACGGCAGACTGAGAGTGCGCTGGAGTGGAATGGGATGGCAAACGTGTGTGTGGCATAAGAGCATGCACATGGTGGCGAAAAAATAGCCCAGAGAGCGAGCGGAAACCCACACAGGCAGACAGAAACACGGAAGGAAACACAGAGAGTGAGTGAGTGAGCACGCCACGCACGGCCGTATATCGACGAAAAAGACAGACAGGCCAAACAAACTCGTCGTCGAGGGGAGGGGGAGGGAGTCGTGGATGAGTCAACGGAGACAGACAAGTGCTGCAGTGCACGCAACACACCCGCACCCACACCCAGGCACACGCAGGCATCCACCAGGCCAGGCGAGATAAAATAACACAACACACATGCCATCCATCAACAGGAAATCCACGATGGCACCCGTACATCCATGACATGAAGCAAGCAACAGCCGAGCCGACCGCCTCCCTCCCTCCCTCCTTGGCGAAAAACCATGGTGTGGTGAGTGGTGGATTGATAACAGGCAAACAGCCAGCCAGCCAGCCAGCCAGGCCGACCGACCGACCGACCGGCCGACCGACCGACCGACCGACCGACCGACCAGTGAGGTGACCAACAGGGAAAATTGACCGCAGAGTACTCGCCTTCCTTGCTTGAGTCAGTCAGTCAGTGTCAGTCAGCCAGGAGCGTACGTATGGATGCATGGGTATGAACGGCAGGGCGTGCGAGCGACTTGGCAGCGAGAGGTGACTCAGTCTGTGAGTTAGTCAGCCAGCCAACCACAAAAATGCCCGCCGCAGAGAGACAGAGGGAGGGAACGAGTGCAATCACCGCTGCCACAGCCAGCCCAGCCCCCCTGCACATCACTCATGTCTGTCATGTAGCTAACCGCTCGTTGGCCTCGTGTGTGAAAGAGCCGTTGACAAAAAGCCAGACAGGCCGACAGACAGACAGACAATCCACAGACAGACAGACAGCGATGGTGAGAAAACATGCATACATAACATGCACTGATATGCTGCGTGCACTGCACGTGTGTAGGCAGATAGATCGGTTCGGTGGGGGTGGGGTGAGTGGGTGTGCGGTGCTGCCGCAGCGCCGGCCACAAATAGTGATCTCTGGTCAACCAAGAGGACAAAAGAGCCATCCATCCATCAATAATCTGACTGAAGGAGCGGGCGAGCCTACAAATAGCAGAATGGTGCGTGACGGACTGACCTCATGGGTGGGTGCGTCGGTGGGCGGGTGCATACGTGCCGAGACAGACAGACATATAGGCGAGACGTCGGACGGACAGACAGAGTGGAATTACATACAGGTATTCGCAGAGCTGAGCTGAAATGAGCTGACTGAACTGGTTGGTGTACGAAAGACCCGCCGCACAGCCGAACAGGCACTCACACGCACGCACGCACACAACATACCCGACAGACAGACAGACAGCAGGTGAGAAAACGCCCCAGCCTGTATGAGATGAACGAGGTATTGGTTACATACATACAGCAAAGACAAGAGAGCCAGTGGTGTGGCTGGGCTGAGTGGGTGAGTGAGGATGGGCCCAAAAAAACACAGCACAACACACAACACGACACACAGCTCACAACACAGAACATCAATCACAGCACACACAGCACAAGTGCGTCACGCGTCACCACATCGCGTCAGTCAACAAAGCGAGAAAAATGCCAGTGGCCCTCCATCCATTCAATCTTTCTGACATCGTCACTTTCTTCTGGGCGGAGAAAGTGTGCCTTAGTGCGTGCTTGGTGGATTGATTCATTGAATGAGCCGGGCAGCATGGTGGGCTGGCTAATTAAAGCACTATTCAAGCATCGATCGCAGCACAAGCACACAGACAGACAGAGGCAAGGAGGGAGGACCTGGCACGGGCATCAAAGCTTGGTGAAAGAGACATGGGAGGCGTGTGGGGTACACAGCGATGCGCGACAAGCGAACAGGAAGACAGGTGAGGCAGGCAATGAATGAACTTAGAGAAGCGAGCGAGCAAAGGAGGCAGGCAAGAAGCAGGCCACAAATATCCATACTTGCTTAGGAAGCCAAGACAGACAGACAGACAGATGGACAGGTGGGCGAATGAGCAGGCAGGCAGGCAGGCAGGAGTGAGTGGGTAATAGAGGGTAGCCAGGAACTGGTATGTAGCCGTGTGTGTCGTGCCGTGCCATGATATGTCATTCATGTACATGTGTGTGTGTGTGTGTGCCGTATGTATGTATGTACGCAAGGCAGGAAGACAGTCAGACGTGTGTACGCCGTGCAAACAACGGTACCCTCCCCGTCCCCTCTCCTCCCTTCTCTCTCTCTCTCTCTCTCTCTCTCTCTCAGCATTCTCAGTCCGGCTTTAGCGAGGTTGAGAACATCCATCCATCCATCCATCCAAACACAGGTACGCATACAAGTCAGGTAGCTATGCTATTCTACTCTTTGGGGCATTTCCGCCGATTGATTGATTCATTGACTGGTTCTTACATTCCCTCCCGTCTCGCCTCTCATCACTCGCGCACCTCTCTGCCTTAACAAGGTCACTCATTCACTCTCACCACTGGTCGACGGACATGCCATGCGACTGCCTGAAGCCATCCATCCATCCATCCCTCCATCCATCCCTTACCACGAGCAACCGGGGGAAAACGATCAGGAACCATTCGTCGCAATCAGCCATTCAAGCAGTGTCGTGTCATGTTATGTTGTGTTATGTGGTGGCGGATGGCAAAACGGTCGTCGAAAAGGCAGACGAGCAGGCAGGCAGGTCTCTCTCTCTCCCGCTGGAATGCAGCCAGTTTTCATGTACTCATGGGGTTTGCATGTATGCATGTACGTACGTACGTATGTATGTATGTATGTACGCACATCCATGCCATGATCGAACGCATCGCATCGGGTCGCGACATTCATGCACATGTGTGAATGGATGGCTTCAAACACCGCTGCCAGGCCCCCAGGCAGACGGGGGGGGGGGGGGGG